GGGGGTGCCTCCCACATAGCCATTCCGCTAACGGCTGGTCCCATGCTATTGTAATTTTTAAAAAATGGTCAGAAGCTACATGTAATTGCCAATAGAAAGAAAGGAAAAGCATCCATACTCCCAGGAGGGTGTGGTCATGCCGCTTTTTTTTCTTTTCTTTTCTATTCCTATATCCCATTAAGATCCAGGCACTCTAGTGTTTTTCTAGCCCTGGGGGCTGGGATTCAAACCCTCAGCTGGCCATGTAGGATTCAGCTCCCTCCACACAGCCCCTATTCACTGTGCTATGCAGCTGGCCTAATTGCAATTATTTGTAATAGTTCTTATATTTCACAAGTGCATGCTAAAATGTTTATAGATGAAAACGCATATGTAAAGTTGGGACTTTACTAAAACGTGAGGGAGGAGCGTTTGACAGTGATAGAGTGGGTAAGGTTAGGGACTAGGCATGATTAATCGGGCACTGGGAAATTGTGGAAGTTGGGTGATATACCTGTGGGAGTTCTTTCTTCTCTCTACTTTTATATAAGTTTGAACATTTTCTATAATAAACCCTTGAAATTCAGAGTTCACCTCCTCATTTACAAAAGAGAAAACTGGTAACAGGAAGATAGAATTTGTTCAAAGTCTCAAAGCTGGGCAGCAAAATTAGCTCTGAAGTACAATCTTCTTTCTCTGATCCCAAGGAAAACAAAACACTGAGCTGTTGTATTTTGAAAAGGCTGTTTATAAAAACGGCAGACTGAGAGCCAAAGGATGTTCAACCCATAGATACTTCTGCCCTTACTTTCATGTTCTTTTTTTTCTCTACTGAACCTGTGTAGCTACATCTATCTTACATTATAGACTTTTAAAAAATATATATGTGTACATATGTATATACATACATATGTACACATATATATAATCATTTCTTCCAGTACCTTGTTCAGTTTTATAAATTTTAACTGCATTTCACTCCAACTTTGGAACTCAAGGAGTAACCTTTTTTTTTTTTTCCTATATGAAGAAAAACAAAATAGAAAAACGAGCAGCAAAAACTTGTTTTTCCCTTCCAGGGCTAAACTCATTTCCCAGTCCAGGAGAGAAAGCAAAGGAACTAGCTAGAGGGAGGAGTTTGGTTCTGGCTTCTCCTGTGATCAGCAGCAGCTGCTTCCCCCTCCAGCTCTGAAGGAGGCGAGAAATGTGTTAAGTGATGCAAAAATCGTCTTGAAGCTCATGCGCGTGCCTGCGTGTCTATCTGTGTGTGCGAGGTGGGGAGAGGGCGGTCGTTGGCTCGGAGGGCGACGTGAATCTGAAGTCAGAAGGGTGTGTGGAGTCTCCCTTTTAGAAGGGACTGAAATAGAAATGGATGAGACGGCCCAGGAGGGTAAATCGGGCTGAATTTGTCTCCTAGACCTGGTACTTGGGGCTGGAGAGTAAAGTCTCATTTCGAGAGGGAAACGCGTTAGGACCGCTTGTGTCCGACGGCCCGGGAATATTTATTCCTGTGCCCCGGGGGGGAAAGATCGGAGTCTGGCGGCCGCTGATTGGTGGAAACGGAAATGGTGCTAGCGGGCTGGGAAGAGGATTCGCTGAGCGCGCTCCAGCCTCCTCAACCTGTAACGTTCCCTTGGTGGCCTCCGCTTCACCCGTGGGACTCTTTAGGGCTCATACGAGGCGAAGAGCAAGGGACAATCGTGAGGCTGTGTGAACATAAGCGACCCCTAACGACTTGTCCTGTGACCGATGATCCAATGTCCGCGACCCCAGGGAAACGTGCTCCTGGCACCTGAGCATCCTTCCCGAGCTTCCTGTCTCCTTCAGCAGCTCCCCGAGATATAGGCTCTGCCTTTGGGGGTCGATCGCTCAGCTCCTCGGGACCCCGGGTTCTCCCAGGTCTATTCTGATGCCGGGGTCTCAGTGGGGAGCCAGAGGAAAGGCGGAGACCCGGAAGGAGGGGGATGGGAAAGAGAGATCAGCCCCAGGCCACCTACTCCCGAGCGCTACAGGAGCGCCCGCGACCCTGAACTTCAGAGGACGCGCAGGACACCCCGTTTTCCCGCCTCCCAGGACCAGGCGGGTGGCTGGAGTTGGAGGTAGGACCTGTCCTCACCCCCGTCCCCATCTCAGACGACGGGCGATGTGCACGCGGCTGGGGGGGGGGCGGGGATGGGCGCCGGCGGTCATTTTG